AGCTGAATCACAAGTGAAACTTACATGCTCTCTTCAAAGCCAGACTCCGTTGACAAAAACAGCAATTTTATTTTGCTGAACACGGGAGCTGCTGGTCTACCGCTGCCTCGATCAGTTGGTTAGTTTGTGTTATAGTGTGTCTTTGGTGTTTTATAGGGTTTGTTACTAACTGTTGAATGCAGTGGTAGACCAGCAGCTCCTGTGTTCAGCAAAGAAGAGAGCATAGATACGTTTCACTTTCAGTTCACTTCCCTGTTGAAAGAGCTGTCTGTTCTGTTCTGTTCAGTACTGAGCACACGACAGGATAAATGAGACTTGGATTATACTGCACGAGTTGTGAGAGAGTTTGTAAATGGATGTTTTGATGTAATTTTGCTGTAGTTAAACACAGACCCCTATGACTTGAATTCATCAAGAATTTCGTCTGTTTTCGGATTCTTTGTTCACTGGAATCATAATGTAATACTGCAGGAACATTGCGGGACTTTATTTATTAATTAGATGTGTGGAATTAAATAACAAACTCCCCCTACCCTTTAAACCACATCACATTATATGTGTTAGTACATGTACTATGCATGATTACATATAACCAAGAACACACTGATATACCCTCACAGCAGCTTGGGTCTGCAGAGAAACAACCCAGGAGCTTAACTTGCATTAATATGAAAGTGACACTAGAGGGCGGTGGTAACACACAAGTTCTTCCTGTTTACTTAAGTACTGAAATTTAAACCAACAACTTTTTCACTTAAGGTTATCTTTTAAAGGATTGTATAAAGCAGCTTTAGAGTGATTTACCAAGCAGAAAAAAATATTTGTTTTAATAAAACTAAACTGCATCTCCCTTCAGTTTGTATTTAGCATTAAGGGCAACTCAAACTTTAGGAGAGTGAAGGAAGAAGTATTCTAGTATAAGTATAATAATAATAACACCACAATTTAAAGATGCTTTTTTTGCAAGTTAAGGTTTAACAATCTTACCAAAAGAAAAGGACAAAAAGTATTACCAACCTGGAGCAACATCATTTTTCTTGTGCTGCTTACAGACGCCTTTGATAGATATTTAAACCTTTGAACCCTGAGCACATTGGTGCAATTTTATTAAAAGATAGGGGGAAAAACAACTTTGTAATGAATGACCCACGAACGGCAAAAAATATATAATTTAGATTTTAATTTTATTTTTTTAAAAACTAGGGAAAAAAGAAAAACAGTAGGGAAAAAGTATATTTAGAATTATTATTATTACATTTTAAAATTACAGATTTATTATAATTTCTTAGCACTCTTTCCAAGTCATTTTCTTCTTTTACTGATTTATTGCAAATTTTCTGGCTCATTTATTCTTTAGTTGCTCAGTACCCTCTTCCCATGTTTTTGAAATAAATTTATTTAATTAAATTAATTTGCTCAGGTTTCAAAGGGCTTTAAGTGTTAACCGTTAAAGCATTCATTATGCAGAAGAATCTTGAGTTCAGTCTGTAATAATGCATCAAATTTTATCAGATTATCAGGTGTTTATGTCAAATCTTTATACGTGAAGTAACCGTAGCTGTCGCACACATGCTGTGCAGTAAAACAGGGTCATATTGTCCTCTGAAATATAAATATAATGTAGAATAAAATGTATAGTATTTGAGTAAATGTTCTTAGTTACATTTTACCATTGCCACATCTCAGAAATCTCTCACATCCAAACAGGATTTTTCTCTTTGTTCTCATGTCAGCTACTATTTTTAGATCTGAGCTCATGACGCTCTCACATACAAGTTTCCAACTGTTGTAAACCTCCAGGTGATGAGATGTGTGTCACAACATTGGCACAGACCAAGTGACAACACATGCATGTCAGTTAAGCGTGGAATAATTAAGAGAGTTAGATTTATGCTTCGAAAAAAGCTGTGATGTATTCCGTCTCTACAGTTAATATACTGCTCCCTTTGTTTGTCACGGATGCACCACTTAAGATACATTTCCTCGCAGACGCAAAATGAATTGGATCATACAAAAATATGTTGAGTTTTACTCCTGCATGTCATGAAACACAAGTTATGCTTGAGTGTTTTAAGTGTCTTTATGTTTTTATCAAGCGAGCTCTAAAGCCTGTTAAAATCAATGTCAGCCTGGAGGGTTCTAATTAGCTAACAAGACTCATCTTGCCCGTAATGTGGAATCTTTTAAACAAGGTTTTATCTTTCATTTCAGGGCTATTTATGTAGAATAATCCACTCCGAGTGGGCGTTTGTTAAACCGTGAATGTGGCTGGAACTCTTTAAGCAGCTCCCTCAGTAAAAATTCTTGGGTCTACTTGAAGGTCAGATTTCAGTGAGTGCTCTGGAAGCAGAATGCGAATAAACTTGCAGAAGAGTTTGAAAATGAGGCAGCCTCCTGCGGTGACAGGCTCACGGAGATGAAACAGAAACAGCTGAGCCGTAGTTAAAGATTACCAGCTTTCTCTTTTATTGAAAAATATAGATGTTATTTCAAAGAAAGGAAAGTGAGGAAGGTAAATATATTAATATATTGTAAAACCAGAATAAGGAGTAGGAAAGGAAAACAGTACATACTTGGCATAACACTACAGCCACTGAATAGAAAAAAGGAGAAAACATTCAACAGCAGAACTTTGAGCCAGTTGTTTTTTTTTGCAGTCCTTATCTTTTTTTGCCACTCACCAAACCGCAGCTGTCAGGGCACGGGAAACTTTTAAGCAGACCTGGGGCACAAAGTATTTGCAAATTCCTTTATATGGTTTATTCTGGCCTACTTAGGAGTTCCCAACAGAGAAACACAGCAAACACCAGAAAGTTAAGACATTTACAAGAAAGTATTTTAGTGTAATTTAGTATACTTTCCCATGATTCTCTATTTACCACTTCCAAATTCACTTGCAAGTACACTTTGGCCGCAGCTGTGCTATTTAGTGTTGGAGCCGCTAACATTCCTCTGGTTCTCACGCTAGTACCACAGAGTCTCACTGCCGATAACAAAGATTGTTTACTGTAATCATCGATGGCACAAATTATATTTACATTACTTGATTAAAACAACAGCAGATAAGGAGTGTTTTTCTTCTTCTTCTTTTTTTATAGTGTCCATTTCTTAGTGATGAACATGAAGGATTGCAGCTGCCCAAACAATCCACAAACCACACAATTCACAATAAGAAGCTAAGAGACATCTTAAAGTTTGGCCCATTTACATCAAAACATGAAAGAGTTCTGACTCTTATCTTACTGCATTTCTATACATAAGTAAATAAAAAAGAAACAAGATCAAACATCCTGCTAACGTTACCCACATAACATAATTAGAACATACTTGGCAGTTTCCTCCAGATCGCTTTTAAAGGGGTGATTCGGATTTTTTGAAGTGGGGTTGTATGAGGTGCTCATCCAAAGTCAGTGTATTAAATACAGTAGATGTCAGTCAGCGCGCCCCCAGTTTGAAGAAGCAGGCAGGAGTCTACAGAAGCTAAGCAATGTACTGCTGTGGACGGGGGCAACAGCAAAATATAGTTTTGCCACCTAAAAAAAAAAAAAAAATCTAAAAATGAAGTCTGACTTTGAAGAGAGCGTTGTAACGGCTTCAGTTCCCCATCTATTTTCTTGTCAAAGCCACCAGACTCTATTGACAAAAACAGTAATTTTGGCTCGCTGAACCCTGGAGATGTTGGTCTACTGCCGCCTCGATCAGTTTGTTTGTGTTACTGTGTGACTTTGTTGAATACAAACTGTTCATGTTAAACAAACTACTTTAAACACTAAAATCACACAATAACAAACAAAACTGACCAAGCCAGAGGTAGATCAGCAGCTCTGTTCAGCGATGTTAATTCATGGTTTTTCTCAATTGAGTCTGGCTTTGAAGACAGTTATGTAACGGCTTCAGTTCCCTGAAAGGAAACGCTGTCTGACAGCAAGGTATATTCATTTATTCATTCATTTTCCATAACCTGTTAGGGGTCACAGGGGGCTGGAGCCTATCCTAGCTGACACTAGGTGAGAGGCAGGGTACACCCTGGACAGGTCACAAAACTATCACAGGGCTGACACATAGAGACAGACCAGACGTTGCACTAGACTTTTTCGTCGCTGGTCATTTTGACCGATGGGGTCATAAAAATCCAGTCATAATCTATTTTTACCGTCATTTTAATTTTCGTTTTTAGATATTCAAGATTTTAGAAGATATTCAAAGACATTTAGTTTTAATTCGTTTCGTTTTTAATAAATCCAACAAGAGAGTTATAAAGTGTGCATTAATAAGGACATGAACGAAAAGATGAACAGACATCCACACACCCGTGCCATTAGGCTTCGCCCTGGACACACCGGACGGCACTAACGTGTCACTAACGTGTCCGGTGTGTCCAGGGCGTTATGTAGTTATGCCTGTAGGCTCATGTTCCTCAGTGCGTGCTGTTGTTATTTTATTTTGAAAATTGTCCGGATTCTCTCGTCTTTTCTGTGTCCAACTTCCTGTTTGGTACAATCTGCTCGAACCAGACAGAAGCGCTTGCGGTTCCCGTGAAAAATAGACCAGACGCCGAACTGAAGCGCTGCCTCTAGTTCGCGGGCGCTCTGCTCTGCTCAGCGGCCTGTGTGGACAGTCAGATAGGTTAATATGGGCGCTGACTGAAAACTGCCTCCGCTGCTGGGCACCGTGCTTCGGTTCCGCGTCTGGTGTGTCCAGGGCGTTATGTCAACAACGCTACATGAAGCAGATGAATGACTTTTTCTCTGCAGTACTGTGCACTCCGCCGCCAAGTGGGAATGGGTGGTAATTGCAACCGGTCAAAATGACCGACAGCCTTCAGATTTTCCGGTCATTGTTGTAAAAAACCAGTCAATGACCGAGAATATCCGGTTAACATGACCCCTGAGACAGACAACCATTCACACTCACATTCACACCTACGGACAATTTAGAGTCACCAATTAACCTGCATGTCTTTGGACTGTGGGAGGAAGCCGGAGAACCTGGAGAAAACCCACACTGACACGGGGAGGACATGCAAACTCTGCACAGAAGGGCTCCCCCACCCTGGGTTCAAACCAGGAACACTCTTGCTGTGAGGCGACACTGAAATCTACTGTATGTAATACACTAACTGTGGATACCTCATATGACCCCACTTCAAAAGATCTGAACTATCCCTTTAATTTCAGAACTTCTCTCAGCCTGTTCATGCAGACGTGTTTCCAAAACATTACAATAGCCCAAGGCAGAATGGCACAGCATCCTGATTCTGTGTACACACCCCTGCATCAGTGCCACAACAGGAAATTCAAAGCTCCCATTCGTCAAACCTGGCAATTAGTTTTCTAACACCAACTAAAAAAAAAGGTCAGACATTAATCATGGGATACCGGAGAGGAGAGTACACCTCTTTTGGCCTTATTTAGAACTGAAAGTAACCTGGAGGAGCCGACTGAGCGAGCGCGCACTGTGAAAGCAACTAAACACAAAAAAGCCAAAGAGAAACAGCCCACCTGTCTGTTCCTGACCCTGCTGTTTCTGGAGCAGTTCCAGCTGGTTGGGGGCCAATAATCCAGCACATTTAATGAGTAGACAGGGAAAGGCCAGATGATGGGTTGATTTAATCATCTGTTCCTACTGTGTGATTTGGGTTGTGTGGAGGAGGTGGATAGTATCACTTGTGGGGCCAGTTCAGGAAATATCCGCCGCTTTCACTGCCCCGAGACATACCTGATGCCCATCTATTAAGTAGCTGCGCTCTAATAACACTTTGAACATGTTTTCACTTCCTTTCTCCGCCCTTAGAGACGAGTCTGAACACATGTCTGGAGAGAGTTTTGGGAAGAGCCATAACTATTAATTTTAATATAACAATTTGTCTACTGCAACAACTCCCCTTCAAACATGTTTATGCCTCTCTGCTGACCTGCTAATCCTACCAACCTCAGCAATGATGTGGAATGAGATGTGATGACACAGAATAACACACTATTAGCCACAATCACCACTTCTGTCCTGTCTTTAAAAAGTACAGGACACAGAACACATACCAAAGGCCTTCTTTTTTTGACAATTCACAAGTAAAAAAGCCTTCACTAGCAGCGGGTGATTTTGTAAAACAGAAGTCATTGTCGTCTAATACAGCCTTGTCGTGACAGTGATAGTGGGAATGATGTGACTTAAGATAATTTTATGTCTACTTGAGTCTGATATTAAGTGCCATGCAGCCAACTCCTGTAAAAGTAGTTGGCTCACTCTGTAGTACCATGTAATTTTTGTAAAAAAAAAAAAAAATTCAACACATCAGAAAGACCCCAATTCTAAACTTTTAAGACCTAGCAGTGCACGTTAAGTATGATCCATCCCTTATAAGAATAAATACCACAGCTCTCTGTGAGTTAAAACAAGAAGATTAAAGGCGTTTTTGGACCAGAGGAGCTTTTCATAGCTCAAAGAACCCACATTTTTGTCATATCCGCATCACGGGAACTAGGAACAATTGTAGCTCTTAGAACACCATTTTAAAGGACTTTTTTAGCTCCTATGTCAGAGCAGTTACCCTCCAGCACAAGAGGAACCATGAGTGACGTAAGTGTAGATTGACTGATCAAATACAGCCAATGCAGTGCCGGCAACTGCCATTTTGAAAAACCTGTTAGTCATGTAAACAACACAAAAAACAAACAACAGCTTGTAAAAAATTTAAGAAAACACAGGAAGTAAAGTCCAGGCTTTAGTGAGCATATGTGACGGTGGAAATACAACACGATTCAGGGTTCCCACAAATCGTCATGGACAAAAATTAAAACTTTTCCATGACTTTTCAACGACCCATGACTTCACGACATATAACACGAACAGAACGCAACAGCAAAATAACTCCTGCTCAGTTATTCTTTTGCTACTTAGTTTTCCTGGGGTGGAACATAATCAATAATCTCCAAATAAGAAGTTGATATGTGTCTGATGAAACAAAGGCTACTGTGAGCAGCAAATTTTTCTTCTGGATTGGCTTGTTGAATGCGCCGTGCCTTCAAACTACTATGCTCTACTTCCAGAGCAGTTAAAACGGAAGCAAAGTGCGCATTGGCACTGCTCAAGTGACAAACCCCCAACATTGTCCATGTCTGTTTTTTTTCTGCACTTGCCTGGCGTTATTCAAACATAATGACATCAGTAAACAAAACGCAGTGTGCCCCAGCTATGTTACGTCAACAGCTACAGAAAATAAAATTGCCATTAGTTTACATTTTGTGGAAGGTTATCCACTTGAGATTACTGCAACAATTTCATGACAAACAAAAAAATTCCATGACTTTTCCAAGTTCTCCATGACCTTGGGAACCCTGTATACCAACCACCGGCCAGCTTACAGTACGTCACTTAAGTGTTCCTCTTGGTGGTGCGAATGCAAACAAAAAAGAAAAAAGGAAAAAAAAAAAAAAAAAAAAAAAAAAAACCTTGAAGGTGTGTGGTCCTTGGATGGACACTTCCTGTCCAGGAGTCCCCAGAACCGTTCGGTCCAAAAACGCCTTGTGCCAAAGAGAGACAGTAGCAAAAAAGTAAACTAACAAATACAGGCTACTGTAGACCAACTTCCAGATACTCTATGTACACCAAATAAAGTAAAAAATACCAGAAATCACCCCTTAGACTCTGACGTGGACAAAAGTAATTAACTACTTTATCTATTTAGTGTCTATGCCAAGACATTGTCATTGGGAAATTAAGCTCCATGATCACTTCCACACTCAGCGATTAGAAAGAGTTTCACTTCTTGTCCTTTTCCTTCCTTGTTCAGAATCTGTAGTACACGTCCTCATCCGGTTTCTGAACTCGCACACCCTCCTCACCTCACACATCACACCCCAAATGTGATATTAATGTGATTGACAGCTGGGGGTACAGTCCTCTAACCCTTTGGTCACCCTTTACTTCTTAAAACGTGTGTGATGCTCATAACCAATAGCTTGCTCATTGTTAAAGCACCTTTGAGGAGGAGAAGGTTTGAACGCAGGAGCCAGTCTTATTTGAAAATGGAGAATTCCCCAATAATAATGAGTTCAGAGTTTGATGTTGCAAAAATTAGCAACCATCAACACACCCAAACCTGTCAAGAGTTCCACTCTGAGAGCCAGTCTGTATGCACTCTGGCATGCACTCCGCTCATATCTCCTTGCTACAGCACGGTGAATAAGGCTTAATTGGTTTGATTTATGATGTTGAACAAAGTGTGCAGAAATTAGACTGATCTACAAGAAGCTTAAAGCAGAAGTGGCCCTGCCTCTAAATACCTCCGCAGCCTTTCCCAGCTTCTCCATTAGTGTCCGAGACTATCCGTGGCAGTGGTACCAGTTTAGTCTAAACTCGAATCTCATCGTCGTCGTCATCCATGAAGGTGAAATCTTCCTCCCCACGTGGCGAGCTGTACTTTGCACTGTCCGTGTCGCCGTCATGGAGGTGGTACTGAGGTTTCTCCTCAGTGACAGAGCCAGAGCTGGACACGGAGCAGCTGTCCAGGTTGTGGTGGTTGTTCCTGGCGTGTAGCTCCGGGGTGTAGGGATCCACCGTGGGCTTCTGCTGGTACATGCTGCGAGGTGGCCTTGCGGGGGCTTGCTCCTCTGCATCGTCGTCATCTATGTGAGGAATGAGGGAGGGTGACGCACGGCCCTCGCTGCCCTTGCCCTCTTCATAACCAAGGTCGTCCTCATCCCAGCCTTTCTTCTCCATCACGCTCAAGATGTCCCCAAGCATGGAGGGCCCCAAGTCAATGTGGAAGGACATCATAGACTCTGCGTGCTTCATTCCACCTCCTTTAGGCATGGATTGAGGCAAATCTGTAAGCTCGCCAAAATTACGCTCTTCAAACTCTGCATCCAGTGTCGCCATCGCTGCCGCTCCATTTACAGGCCTGCTTTCGATCTCCGACAGCCTCTTCATGGGGCTTGAGGAAACACTCTTCGGCAGCTGGTTGCCTCTGTTAATATCCTCCTCATTTAGGTAGGGCAGGGAAATGGCGTTTTTCACATAGTTGGACGAGCCACCAGAAGGCGCCATCATATTGTAGTCATACTTGTCCCCTCGGTTTACTGACTGTGAGCGTTTGCTGCTCCTGAATGTACGGGACAGCAGTCCCGGTTTGGACCCCGGGGAGCCATGCTTCGTCTCTGGCTCACTGGGAGGTTCCCCTGATCGGGTGCTAAGAAATGAAGTGTCCCCAAAGGCATCTCCTCCTCTGCCAACGTGCATGGTGTGGCGGAAGTCCCCCAGTGGAGCACTGATCATCTCAGCGGTCAGGTCAGCTCTGGACCGCCGCTTCGACTGGTTAGAGTTGTTCACCAGCTGCTTGAGAATCGGCATGATGGCAGTCTGTCACTTATAATCCACAGAGAGAAATGAAACTAGCTTCTGCAGGAGTTCAGGAGAGTTCCTTCCAGAATTATCTGGCAAATCTGTGAGCTGTTGTCAAAGAAAGTATAATTCCAGGTGTTTAATGTGTGCAGCCATTCTGGTCCTTCAGCTCGGGTTTCATCTTGTGGATCAGCCTGTGAAGAAGAATAGAGAATTAAAACCCACATCAGTAGTTACGGCCTTGGCAGGCAATGTGGAAATATGCAATTAATAATAACACACACCATTTTATTCTGCTGAAAATGCAACATACCACTTTAAATGCTTCTCTAAAGAGCTGTCTATTCATTTCCATTTCTCATCACCCACTACCACATAACTCCCTCTGTCCTGATCTGCATCAAGTATGGAAACTTTTGTTGCCAGAGTCTCAAAACGAAGCCTCACTTGAGTTCAAAACTAACAAAAGCTTTTATATGCAGGAGTCTGTGTAGGGAGTTATGTAATGGTAAAGAAAGCTTTCTGGTACAAAGTTCGCAGCACCTTCACCTTACTTAAAACCAACAATAATACCACCGGTGAAGTCTAACAAGGCAAAAATAAGTTCCCATTTAAATGTGTCGGCACAATTCTTCTGGTACATTTTTAGCTCTTTCTAAAAACTCTAATAGGCTGTTGTCACATTCAGTTTTTCAAGCGGCTGCAGTGTCCGCTGTCTCTGCTGTGCTTTAGTTCCCATTTAGGCCCCTGACTGTTACATAACCAGCAAGACACAGGATACTGAGAGCTGGAGCAGTTCAAGCTGGCAGGAATAAAAGAAATGAGAAAAAAAGAGAATTAAGTGGAACAGCATTTCTTCAGCGTGGATCGACTTACAGCACAGCTCAGAAAATTCAGATCAGATACATTCTGTTCTAACTTTCCTATCATCAAGAGATAAAGTGCTTTCACTGCTAGCTCTTTGTGTTTTTGTCTCAGTTTCAGCTTTTGTCTCTTGAGCCTTGAAGGTGAAACTGGAACACTTCAACAGTGTATTTAGTTCTCTTTATCACGGCTTCATTTTATCTGGTTTTCACTTAACACATATCAGTGACCATGTTTGACCTACGTTTGTCTACCAGCTCTGGTGATGGCCAAGTTATAGATTGTGTAAAAGGAGCTAAAGATAATCAGTGATCAAGGTGAGCTGCATTACATTAAGGGCACCCTGCTCTCCTCACATAAAAAAAATTAAAAGACTGCATAACAGGGTCGCTATGAAGTCCCTTCATAATGCCACTTCTGCTTTTATATACAGGACCAAACATTACATCATCATACTGTGATATTTGATAGCATGCCAGCATCATGGAAGCTAAGCAGCCAGTATCAGCCTCTACTGTGACATAGGCTATAACATTGCTGACTTTTTTGGCTACTGTTCTACTAGTTCTTCTTACCTGACAGCTGCTTTTTAAATCAGTGGTGGATTTTATACATAACACGTCATCAAAACGTCAAACCCGTCCTATTCATTGCTCCCATCCTGCAGGCTGTCCCTTTTACACAGATGTTGGTACGACCTCCGATGTCAGCTGAAGGCTAATTTATACTCCCTTTCCGTACGAAAATAGATATGACCATTTCAAATGCTGCAAACACCTCAACCGTCATACTTCAATGCATCCTTTATAATGGCATAGATACAGCCAATAGATGGCACTAGTAGGCGGAGTTAAAAGACGACAAAAAATGAGGTGACAGTATAATATTGTACCTTTAAAGGAGGCAGCGTTATAGACAGCAGTGGTCTGCAAAGGCGGAGAATTATTTTCATTGTATTATCGATTTGTTTTGATCTGCCAATATCTAAATTTCCTACAGTCGTATCTTGCTTGAACTATGCTACTCTGCCTCCTCAATGTCCGGTGGTACTGCTCTGTTTCATCCGTATCCATAAGCTTTCAGATAACATGCACAAATATGGATGAAGTAAACGCAGAGTACATACAGAAGGCCCTGTCTGTCTCTGTATCTAACGGGGAGCATAAATGAGCCAATAAAGGCACAAAAACTCTGTACCCCCATTTTGCGCTTCCACCTTGAATGTTGCACCGTTATTCTGCCTTGCTGTTCTGTATAAAAGGTACAACTGGAAAATGGGGGGACTGAGTTGTCTCGCCTTTAAGCCAGCAGCAGAAGTAATGAAAGTATCAGCAGGATGGGATGAGTGTGACGTTTTGACGGCATGTTATGTGTTCGCTGCAGAGAGATTTTAAAAGCAGCTAGGGCTGCAACTAACAGTTAGCTTCATGATCAGTTAATCTGTTGATTATTTTCTCAATTCATCATCAATTAGTTGTTTGGTCTATACAATGTCAGAAAATTGTGGAAAATGTCTATCAGTGTTTCCTAAAGCCCGATATAACATCCTTCAATGTCTTATTTTGTCCACAACCCAAGAAACTCAGTTTACTGTCACAGAGAAGCAAAGAAACCAGAAAATAGTCATTTGTGAAGCTGGAATCAGAAAATGCTGACATTTTTCTTTAAAAAATGTACTCAAATTGATTATGGAATTAGTTGGTGAATAACTTATGGGTTAATGACTAATCAGTTAATGCAGTTAAAGCTAGAAGCAGTCAGCAGCTAACTCATGTAAGAACAACATCAACTGCAAATGTCCACAAATTGGGAAGACAGTGAGGCCCAGGAGTTCCTCACCCTCTGGGCTGAGGATGGGATCAGCCACCATATAACAGATGATTGTTGTCATGTTATGCCATTGTTATTGTTTAGAAAGCACCACCCGCCGTGTATATGTCACACTAGAGGCCCACACTAAAAAAGCAAAGCTGGCATAATGAAGGGTTTTTGTTGTGGCCCGATGGCAGGATCTCTGTGTAACAACAGCTTTTTAAAATAATAAAATGGCTCATTTCAGCACTTTGACCAAACTGTCCTCAAGTCACCAGTGAAATCAAGCCTTGAAATGTGATCTTAAAGCGAGTGAAGAGATTTAAACACCCACTTATATGCTAGCTGCAGTCCACTAGCTCCATGTGTTACTGACATTAACAAGGGTCTCAATTGTTTTAGCCAGACAGCAGTCCCATCATTCTCAGTGTTTTCAGACCGGAGCTGAAGCCCACGCTCGAGGCCTGTGTGCGTATCTCCACAGTGAATGAATGGGGGCTTCACTCAACAATATTGCAAAGGAACGTCACCCATGAAAACATTTGCATCTCTGACAAGAACCCATTGAATTGGAAAGGCAACTGTACCACTAGAGGGAACAGAGGGGGGTTTGATAGATGATAGAAGCTAGCGCTGTTTTTTGTTCACTGCTCTTTCAAAAGAGAGATCATCCCTGAAGAGAACTGAACTCTATCCAGTGCCAAGGTTTTATCCTCTATATTCAACAACTTCATTCAACATTTCTCTGTCGTTCGGCTGCTGCTAATGGCGGAGATGCACTGTCCCTGTAACAAAAAAGATGGCACAAAAGGAGGCCCAACAAAAAGCAAACGCATTAACAAAAGTATCCGAAAAGCTTATTTTCAAGTTCTATTGTAAAAGCCTTTTGAGTTCAAGTTCACACCCTTATATGTGACAACTGGAATGGGCTTACTGTTACGAAAGCTATTTAAACAGCAACTGGATGCCAAATTATAAGATTATAGCGTAGAGCAAACAAATGCCCACAAAGTCCCTGTGAGCGGACTCACAGCGGTTAGATTAATGCAGTATGATCTATTATTAGCTAAACCCTTTATTACTTCATGCCTTGTGCGGTAGCCAATTAGTATCTGCTGCACAAAAGGCTGCTGAATGTGTGACGGACCACTCAAGACAACTCATCAACTGATATGTTCCTCCCCGCTGCCCATAGTTTTGTATTTCTCTATGGCAACATCAGAGCAGAGCACTGGGCTACCAAGCCAGCTTCCTGTCTCTAAGCCGGCCGGAGACAGCCAGAGAGATTTTATCCCCTACATGGAGAGATCAGCTCATTCACATGGATTCAGATGGATGGATTAACCCTTCACAGTGGCCACATGCAGGGCAATAAGACAATCACCATGGTGCTACAGCAGAAGGGGAATGCCTTTGATGTGCCTTGTCACTCCAAGACATTCAACCTCAGCATAAAATATGTCAGTGGGTGCTCAAATATCAAAAGGTGCAAACCCCACACCTTAAGTCTTTCTAGGAAATGGCCCATTTAGTGTCTATGGCGGCCCCTTGGTGTTTGATGAGGAATAGTTCAAACCCCCCCAGGATCATCAAGACCCCATTATTGTGGGCATGACAAAAGATGGAGTACGGCCTGCAGGCAGTCCTGTCATATTCAGTTCTAGCCTTTCAGTACTGTTTCAAAGATAAATCATGAAGAATGGCAGGGTTATGTGCATTCTACTGTTTCACAATAACATTCAAGAGACCATTTCACAAGTCTAAAAAAGTGCCTTTATGTTCAGCACATAGAACTGTAGCTGTGTTAAATGTTCTCTCACATAAAAAGGGAAAACTTTTTCAGTTGTTCTGGGAAGTCTATCCATGTGTTCTCCAAATCAGTGTTAGGTTAATTTGAACCCTTCTTAAATTCCATACCGGACCTTTTTCTACATACAATGACAAACAATCCATTGTTTTATCTTCAAAGGAAAATCTCCTCCAGTGTTCAGGCAATTCATTGTAAGGATAGACCGATACATTGGCCGGCCGATATATCGGGCCGATATTTGAGTTTTTTTACTTGCATCGGCATCGGCCAATACACGCGTGGGTTCGCGGATTAATTTTTCCCTGGCATGATTTACAGACAGGCATCCACGGGCAGCTCTGTGTTGCCGGAAGACCCTGCAGCGCACATGCAGCGAATCCTACTGTGTACAGTAGTTGTTGTTTTATTTATGCTTCAGCTTAAATATTTGTTTATTTTATAAAGACATTACTGGAAGATTTAAGAGCACTGAACTCTTTTTTTTATTTGAATGTATGATAATAATAATAATAATAATAATAATAATATTCTACTTGTTCTACCTCAACTTTCCATCTTGTTTTAGTATTTTTTACTGTTCAATAAATGTTTCTTATTTTAAACTTGAGACCTGTAATATTTGTTATCATTGTCATTTTTTTATGTAAATTAAGGGAGCAAAAGCAGTATCGGCCCCAAATATCGGCTCAAGAAAATCGGCAGTCCATA